CTTATTAGTTATTTGAAATACCTAAGGTACTAATGATATAACATTAAATATGACATAGGGTTTGTATGTTTATGACTTAATATATTTATGTAACTTTGAAGTAAAACTATCTTGGGGTACATTTAATAATACATTTTATACACATTGAATGTGATTCTCTACGCTTATTACACCTACACACAGGCACACAAATATTTCTTCCGTGCGCGGCCAAAAGGGGTTAAGTCAAAAGGGCGGACAGATATAGGTATTAAAATTATATAATAAACATTGTAATTGATAATTCAAACTGTTAAAATTAAAGTAATAGTATAACATATTTTACAATAAAATTAAGCGCCAAATTGGATATGATAAATGATAAGTGTTATAACTTGAAGAGGAAAAAAGATTGACTTAATCCGATTTTACCAAAAAATAATTCATATTTATTAGAGATAAAACACATAAAAATCTCAAAATGTGTATTTTTGACTTTAGCCCTTTTGACCACGCATGGAAGATTTATAATATATAAATTTATAATATATAATATTTAGTATAGATTATACTCTCACCGCTACCGATATAGAGTTAAATGGATTGAATGATCGGATGTATTTATTACACATAATATTCAATTATTTCTAACAATATCACTGATACACTAATACACCAATTACTATTGATTAATACATTTTAGGTAATATGATTTATTCTCAGCTCTTTGCAATCAAAATTCACAGTTATTTGTACACATCATGCGGAGTGTGTTTAACATAAATATATAAATATATTCGTTTCAGGAACATGCGTCAGGTGTGGCTGGCAGAAAGAGCCCTGGCCGATCCCGCAGCCGCGCCACCTAGACCAGTCAGGATGAATTTCGTTGATGATGCGGCCCGGGATAGGGGCCGAAACAACCTGCCTACCGCAAATGAAGTTGCGGCCGTGTTCGTAGGTGAAGGTGGTCATCCTCCCAGACACATCGATCTGGTCATCTTCGACACCAATCCAATCGACATGCAATACAGGACGCAAAGGATACCTGCGGGTTAGTACACCTCACAGACACACACATAATTATAGTATTATAACAACAGGTGTCTAACTGCTACCAACAAAGAGTTAAATTACACCCCACCTTTACTACATTTTGGACATTCTTTTGAAATTTAATTACTTAATAACTAATACGTTAGGTCAACACCGACTTCAACCCTTTCACTTGTGCAGTAATACTTATTACATTTACAGTTTGAGTTTGTTGTGTGATAAAACAAAAGTCATCACATTATTATTCATTTAGTACATAACTCTCATCAGTTTTATAGTTACATTACTTCAATGCTTGATTCACTGTTCTCTTATTTCATAATTTGTGTATACTTCATAACTAAAATCACTTAGAATTATTAACACTTGGTATAGAAATTAGCCCACCTTAGAGTTCATGTTTTAGATTATTTTATAAATTACCTTTCCTTTGCGGTTTTACAAAACATTATTACTTGCTATACACACAAGTACACGACCCAATTATAACAATAAATAAATAACTGGTAAATATCCTAACACGCATACATTCTGGACATTCTTTTGAAATTTAATTAGTTATTCACTGATTATTTAGGTCAAAACCGACATACATAATAATACTTATTAAATTAACAGTGTAAATTCATTGTGTTGCTGTGAAACAAGCCATTACATTATTATAAATTTAAAACAACGTGGATCAACATAATACCTATCACATATTATTATTGTCTCATGGATTGTCCTCCTAAATATATTTACCCAATTTGTGTGGTTCTACAAAACGTTATGTAGGTACTTGCTATAACAATAAATAACATATAGATATAAATAACTCCTAAATAGAGTTAAAGAATTACAGTTTCGTATAGATTCATAGTTTTGATTTCACAGTATATAATAATATACTTAATAACTAATAGCACTTACAATATTATAGCCGATCTTAGAGTTAATATTTTCTGTACATTATTTCATACATTTCTTTGGCGGTTCTACAAATTGTGTACACACAACACAAACGTATCTCCATAAACCAACTCTCAGCTACTAACAGACTTTTGGCTCAGCAATTAATTTAAAATTCATTATATGTCTCAAGGTTCGTCTCACTCGGATCCCATGTTGTATCCGCTGTTCTTCCCGCACGGCGAGGCCGGTTGGCATAACGAGATGTTGCAAGAGGGCCTCGACGAAATAACGTCCGCAGTCGAAACACTATAAGAGAGTTTGCGTGCTACCGCGTGGCCATTCGATACGAGGGAAATAGCGACACGAGGCACCAACGGTTCAGTTCGATACATCAGGGCCGGTCCTTGTTTCACCAGTTCCTGTGCGACCGCTACGTTCAGATGGAAACCAACAATCTGAACTACATACGTGAGCATCAGGCAAAAAACTTTGCCGAAGCGTATCAAGGGTTGGTGGACCATGTGAACGAACGTCTCATCATCGATCCTATGGCGGTCGGCCGTAGGGTCATTTTACCGTCGACGTTCGTGGGCAGCGACCGATACAACAAGATGTGTTATCAAGACGCCATGGCCATGGTCCGCAGCAAAGGGAAGCCCGACCTGTTCATAACGTTTACGTGCAATCCAAGGTGGCCGGAGATCACGGAAAACCTGGCGGCTCACAGCCTCCCGAATGACAGGCCCGAACTGACGGCCAGGGTGTTCAACATGAAACTACAGGAGCTACTAGGTGACCTAACTGTTAATCGTGTGTTTGGTAATGTCGCCGCTTACGTATATACTATTGAGTTTCAGAAACGCGGTCTGCCCCATGCTCACATACTGGTAATCCTGGAGGAGGATCATAAGTTCCGCACGGCGGCAGACGTCGACGACGTGGTTTGCGCCTTCTTGCCGGACCCGGAGACCGACAGGCGCTTACACGACTGCGTGCGGTCCCACATGATACACGGACCGTGTGGAACAGTCAACCCGAGGTGTCCGTGCATGGTGAACGGCAAATGTTCGAAAGATTGTACGTACGCAAAGGAGACTATGTACGTTGCGGAAGGCGGTTATCCAAGGTACCGACGACCGGACTTGTGGGAAGACGTGGTGCGGTCGGTAACGGGTGTGTAGTGCCTTACAACCCTTACCTTCTGGCCAAGTACGACGCTCACATCAACGTCGAGATATGCACGTCCATAAAAAGTGTCATGTATATCTACAAGTATGTATACAGAGGACACGACCGTGTGACGTTGGAGATTGAGCAGAACGGAGATGAAACTACAAGGTGAGTCTTAACCTTACACTACACTTAGCGATATAAACATAAGATAATATAATAGTATACATGTGTGTGGTATAGTGATAATCATGGTGGATTGTATATGTTTATTTTGTGTGTTCAGTGCTTATGAATTACTTACTACTTTTTAGGGCAGTTGTATACATTCACCAATACCTCATATAATATATTTAATATATTATATTATATTATATCATGTGGCTTGGTGCAAGAAGGGCCAATGTCATGTTTTGACAGTGTTCAGGAATTCAATCTTAAATTTTATTTCGGAACTCTAAACATTATATTTGTTTTTATTTCATTGTATGACTCTCATTTTGTTTTCAAATATAAATAATAAAATTACATTGTTTTTGACATTGGCCAAAAACTTAAATTTAAAATGAACACTTGTGAAAACATTTCTACATTTTAATAATAATATTCCATTGAGCATAATGTTAGTAATTTTCTACATTTATAAACTTTATCTAATTTGGTCCTACAGCGTAAGAGACATTGGCCCTTTTTTTTTTTTGTAACACAAGTAACATAAGCAAATTTTAACGACATTGACCCATCTTGCACCAAGCCACGGAATTATTTTATGTGTTGTAATATTATTATATTATGTACTTCTACAGAGAGTTCTATAGGTGGTCTACATTAGTACACAGTGGTACCTACATGCTATTGATAGATTTTTATTATATTTATTAAATTGAAAATTATTACAATATTTTATGCATGTGTCATTCTTAGCAGTGTGTGCAGTGTTTTTTAGGTTTTTAGGGTAGTGGTAAGCCTTTTATTTTTTTTACTTTTGTATACTAGCTATCGAAGAGTCTCGCTAGAGACTCCTTTCTGTGCATAAGTAACACTGATAAGAAACAGCACCTTGACAACCGATAGCGAGACTATTATACATTAAGTTTCGTTTCGGCGCTCGGACCTCTCACTCGCACGCATTGGTTGAATGCAGAGTGCGAGAGAGACAGAGCTAAAAACTGCAGTTTTGTGAGTCTTTTTCTTTCGTCCGTCATAGCAACGTCATCCAACGCCGCGCCGTAGCAACCGCCAAGCGCCGGCCTCTACTGTACCGCGAACCTCACCCACAACAACAGCTATTTACAGCTAGCTAGTTTTACGTTTGCAGAATTATTATTAATTATTATTTATTTTTATTATATTATAAAATATTTTTTACGTATCGTGTTGTTGCGATACCGAGGTCTCGTGCATTTACATTATTACATACGTTATTTTACGCGATTTATTGTTACAAAACAACAGCTATAAAAAAAAAAACTCTGTTCAAAATAAGACCGGACCTCGGCGGCGACCAGTTTTCGTTCGCGACGGTCAGGCACCTCCCCCACCATAAATCACAAGACCATGGCTCCGTCCGCCTGTGCGGTCCGTGGGAGGTGCATGTGCGTACGCGCGTCATGTGTCGCTTTATATAAGAAAAATGTTCTATAGAAAAAAAATGTATAACTCGGTATTGTGTGTAGATACCTCGTGCATTTTTGAAATTCCAAGTAGCAGCGGACACTCACGACAGCTGCTCTGCACATATGCCTATTATAACAATATAACATGTAAGATTTAACGAATTCAATGCATTTGTGCTCCACTCTCCGTGTCGACGCCTGCTTGAAAATACGCTCCGTGATTTTTTTGTTTTTTTCATCGTTTCCGTACGTTTTTTTAAACTTTTTTCATTTTACAAATTCACTATGGGTGATCGTGTGGATATGGTTTCTGAGTTGGATAACGTGGAGGAAAATATTTCACCTAAAAGAAGAAATATTCCAGGTAAAGTGAGTAAAATATTGTAAATTAATAATATCGGTACTGTAATAATACACGTTTAATTTTTATGATTTTTATTTCACCGGCATTTCGAAATTTTGTTTATACGAATTTTGATTTTCGAAATTAAAAATACGAAATAGATATAACATACTCCCCAAAATAATATAAGTTTGACCAAATTAAATATAAATTTGTTTTTTAGTTGATACAGAGCCGTCAGAAGACCATGATTATCAACATGTATAAGGACATGAAATTGAAGTCTCCGAGTAAGCCGTACAAGAAAATGATGGTTGAAATTTCAAATATTACAGGTATTGGTCGCAATTCGATAGTTTCAATTATTTCTGAATACAAAAAAACCGGAACTGTTACGTCTCCTAATAAGACACGTAATAAGAAGTGTCTGTTCGATCGCATTGACGATTTAGATCGTAATGCACTTCGTCAAAAAGTTCATTCCTTTTGGTTGAGAAAAGAAATACCAACCATCGACAAAATTTTGCATTCGGTGAATGAAGATCCTGCCCTTCCCGATTTCAAACGCACTTCGTTGTATTCGTTGATAAAGAAATTGGACTTCGTCTTCACCAAGAGGAAAAGATGCAGCGTGTTGACGGAGCGAGAAGATCTGTTGGTTTGGCGTCAGAATTATTTGTACGATGTACGTAAATATAGAGAAGAAGGTCGTACCGTCTACTATCTAGACGAAACGTGGCTAAATTCAGGTGATTGTGTTGACAAAGTGTGGGTCGACCAGACAATTCGGTCAAAACATGACGCTTTTAACAAAGGTCTGACAACAGGTGTTACGGACCCGACTGGCAAGGGCAAACGTTTGATAATTGTACACAAAGGTTTTGTAGATGGTGGTCTGTTATTTTTTGAATCAAAAAAAAAATAGTGCAGACTACCATGACGAAATGAATGGTGACAACTTCCACGAATGGTTTAAGTCAATTCTTCCACGCCTTGATCCAAACTCGGTAATTGTGATGGACAATGCCCCGTATCACTCGGTCAGGACAGAAAAAATACCGACATCCAGCACAAAAAAAGAAGACATTATATCGTGGTTAATTTCAAAAAACGTTGTCATTGACCGAAAAATGTTTAAACCACAATTACTGGCGAAGGTCAAAGAAATAAAGGGGCAGTATATGTCATATGTTGTCGACAGTATGGCCAAAGACGCCGGGCATAATGTATTGAGATTACCACCCTACAATTGCGAATTGAACCCGATAGAATTGGCATGGGCAATGGTTAAAGGCTACGTCAAACAGCACAATACGACATACAAAATCGATGACGTTAAGCTCCTTCTGAACACGGCCGTTGAACGGGTCACCAGCGAAAATTGGCAAAATTTTCTTCAACATGTCAAAACAGAGGAGGATAAAATGACAGAAGTAGACGAAAATATGGATGAAATTATAGACAATTTAGAACCCTGTGTCCTCACCATAACAGGCGATACTTCCGATTCTGACGATGACTTGTAATTACTTCCATGATGTATTTTGTACATAATAATTATTTGTAAATATTTTTTTGCCAATCATTTTTAAACTGTAGATATTTGTGTAATTTTTATTTGTATAAGTGACTGAATGAATTATAATTTTCTTATAATAATTGTATATAATTTGTTTTAATTTATACATAACTGACGTATACTCAGCTTTTTGTTGAGTATTAATTAAATTAAACTAACCTATGTAATGTTTATAAAAAAACAATACTTTAATTACATACTTAATCTTTCTATACGTTGCATTTATTATATTATTATTTATTTATATACATTGATAATTCACGTCCGACCATACCTAAACAATGCATTTTAAATTATTTGTACTCGTCTGCAGTCGATACTAGAATAATGCGGCGCTCTCGTTGTATATTTTTTTTTGATGTTATTAAATTTTCCAACAAGACTTTTTCTTTGTTCATTGTAAATAATAAATGTAATATACCTGTATAGTATGACTACCGATAACACTATGCAGATAATAACTGTGTGACGGTATATTTATATAAACACATACAATTATTTTATTTTAATGAATGTTTGAAAACCACATCTATACCTTCCTTCATTCATTTCTCGAGTTTTATCGATAACCATAAACCCATAATAGCTATGATTCCAGCATAAATGAGAAATTTTCCGAAATTCTGAGAAATCCATATCTGCAGACGATTGATCGTTGAATATATGTCGTAAATTTGTATCATCTTGTTTCAGTATTATTAAAAAGTTTGCGTTATCTCTTACAAGCTGTTTTCTTATTTTAGAATATGTCTGTGCTAAATAAAATACGGAGCTGGCACCTGAATGCCTACCAATGCTAAAGTATTCTCAGATTACAGATTGTGGGCCGCATATCACATCATCAAAAATTATAATAGAATTTTTCTTCGTTAAGTTTGGTTTTATAACCTTATCAGCGCTTGTAAATATGAAAAAATTAGCACCTTTTATATCATCTATTATTTTTTTCAATAAAACATATTTTTCCTGATTAGAGGTTTTCGAGTATAAATAAATATTTTCAAATCTTAACCCGTTTGCATGTGTGACCAGATTATACATTATATTTGTTTTTCCTGAGCCACTGGGACCAACTAGTATAGCACGTATAGTATCGGGTAATAACGAACCATGTCGTGAAGGTTTTTTTACTACCTGAACATCTACATTTGTAACATCCAATTTATCTTTCTGTTCTATCAAATCCATATTATTTTCTTATAAATACTATAGAATTTTCCAATTTATAGCCAGTTATAGATGCAAGTTCAACTTGCAAGTGTAAATCAGTCAAGACTGGAAAATTATTTGTAAACTCCCTTATAAATAGTCTCCCGTTCGAAGCCCATTATTCAGGATATCAGTATTGTGGTCCTGGCATGAAATTAAAAAAGAGGCTAGATCGTGGCGATAAAGGAATAAACCCATCGGATGCTGCTTGTCGTGATCACGATATTGTGTATGCAACGAGTAAAAATTTAGACGATAGACATAAGATACACCTAGAAAAGAGAAATTAGTTGCGTACGCAGTAACAAACGCGATGAAAGCTAAAAGAAAAATAGGTATTGGCTGTAAACGGAAACGAGCTATAAAAACAAATGGATACTAGCAGCGAAGAAGAAAAGAATTTCAAAGAAAAATAATGGTAGTAATAGGTTGATTTTAGCACCAAGACAAACAGGAGACGTAATTCCCTTAATACCTATAATTGCGGGATTTTCAGCACTTGGTAGATTGATGTTTGGAGGTGCTAGTGTGTATAATGCGGTTCAAAATTCAAAAAGAAAAAAAGGTAGTGGTTTGAAATCAAACAAGAATAGGTTAAGAAAAAAAAACTGATGATCCCGCTACCTGACAGACCGCTTTCGTCTCAAGATATTATAAAATATGCCGGAAAGTTGAAAATCAATCATTTCCGTGGAGTCATTTCACGTGATAGCTTACCTAAAAAACCGCATACGATTGAATGTGGTATATTAAACTTGGATATATCTTCAGGCGACGGAAGCTATTGGGTAGTGTTTTATAAAAATAAGGACAAAGTTGTATATTTTGATAGCTTTGGTGATTTGTCACCACCAATTGAATTACAAGATTATTTCAGACAGTTCAAAATAGTATACAACTATTCCAACTATCAAGACTTCAATACATTTAACTGTGGTAATTTATGTCTTGAATTTTTACAATGCATGAATCTATTACATTAAGTTTTACTGGAAATTCAACTGTATTGTCGACAAATTATTTTCTATCTCTAAACGTTTACGAGGATTCGGAAATAGCTTTGTTATCTTTGCAAACGTTCAATTAATTTCCAAATATTATAAATGCAACTAATAACCGGTTAAAATTACAAACAATTCCTCCAAAGAAAAACAGAGAAGACTTTCGCGTTTTTGAATTTTTTTGGAAGACTGATGCTATGAAATAGAAGATATTAACAATTATATGGCAATAAATTATATATTTATATAAATTATATTGAATTTTTACAATGCATGAATCTATTACATTAAGTTTGACTGGAAATTCGACTATACTCGTATTAAACCTTTACGATGACTCAGAAATAGCTTTGTTATGTTTACAGTCATTTAATTCATTCCCAAATATTAATGAAAATAAGAATACATTTTCTATACAAGTAGTTGATAATGAAAACAATAATGATTCTATGACATGTTTTATTACATTGGAAGAGGGTTATTATGAGATTGAAGATATTAAGCAACGAGTTAAGAAGCAAATAGATATACTCGTATAATATAATAAGAAAAACTTAACCAATTTAATGCAATAAGTGGTAAGTATATTCTAGGTGACGTCCGACGATCGAGTCTAGATGATGGTGATAGTCTGGTTGACTTTAAACCTGACATGTGTAACATATTTTTCAAACACAATACGTTACACCGCTGTTATACTGGTCTGTGTACTACATGCGCCCGATGATAGTCTGGTTGACTATAAACCTAACATGTGTAACATATTTTTCAAACACAATACGTTACACCGCTGTTATACTGGTCTGTGTACTACATGCGCCCGATGATAGTCTGGTTGACTTTAAACCTAACATGTGTAACATATTTTTCAAACATAATACGTTATACCGCTGTTATAGTCTGGTTGACTTTAAACCAACATGTGTAACAGTTTTTTTTAAACCTAATACGTTTTTCAAACTTAATACGTTACACCGCTGTTCTACGTGGTCTGTGTAGAGGTGACTTCGTGATGACCTTGCCTTCGAGCTAAACAGAGAGAAAGTTTGAAAACCTCCTCGTGGTTCGCTCTGGATGCGGATTCACTATAATGTGAAGCCGTAACTAATGTCAAACAATGTGTGTAATGTCTGTGTTATTTGTATAGATAGTACAGATAGTGCAGACAATTTATTTAATTTGAATGTTTTATTTTATTTGTAATGGAACATTAATTTAAGATTCTAATGTAAATAAATTATATGATGTAAATAACATTAATAAGTCAATTTCACTATGTTTGTTGTAAATTAATGGAAAATGTATTAATTACATTAATTGTTTTATTCACTAAAAGAGTATTAGATTGTACACTGTAAATTGTATTACTATTATATTACTACTGTTTGTATATAAATATATAATATATTGTATTTTTACAATATTTAGATAATTGACATTTTACTAAGAGTTGTATTTCTTTCTTCTTGGTTTTAACATTAATAAGCAATTTTACTATGTTCATAATATGTATATTCATTTTGTATACTAAATCACTGTGAACCGCTGTTAATTAATGAAGACTGTATTAATGGTTGAAAACTTACTTTATTTTATTTGTATTGTGTTTATTAATATCTAAATTTCACTGTACCTACTCACGATATTCATAATATTTTGTACACTTTGTATCGCTGAACTACTTGATTAATTTATATTGTATTAATGGTTGAGAGATCGTTTAGATTACTAAATATATAAATCTTCACATATAATTATTATTGTATATTATAATAATCGACATATTTGTATTAATTGTTTTACTCACTATTCCCTAATAGAGTATAAGTTTTTGTTAGACACCATTTTCTTCTTCGTTTATCTAATTGTTTTATTCTAATTATATTATAAATGTAATTATTACAATATTTATATAATTGACATTGTAGTAATTGTTTTGTTCAGTAAAAGTAATGTTTTTTTGTTAAACACCATTTAATAGTTGTGTTTTAGATTATTACTACTGATGTGTATATAAATTGTAATTCATTAAATTTAATTATATTTACATTGACAATATTTGTTTTGTGTCTTTGTGCCACTGAAGAGTGCCATTGGTTCTTAATTAAGTGAATATCATAAGAATAAATAATTTGTAAAAACATACAATCGATTTTAACGACATAATCATGATGCATTTGTTCAATGACGGTTTATTAAAATTCACACACATTTCTTGGGTCAGGGAATGGATCCCCTCAAAAAGAGTAAATTACTCTACGTTTAAATTAAATACTTTGTTTTGACAACAAATGCTGTAAGCACAACATTTAAGCGTAATAGTAGGAATAACTAATAACGATTTAAAAAGCCATTTATACAGTGCATATCTTAATAACAATGCATAGATAGGTACTAGGTGTATAAATGATAAGATACTGCATATTATTATGTTATTTAAATTTTTATGGCAGTGTTCGAACGGCTGTTGTAGATATTTTTTGTATAAACACCATTTAATAGCTGTGTTCCTTTCTTTTTCGTTTTATATCTAATCTAATCTAATAGGTAATACATTGTAATGTGTAATACAACATTTTGTTAGTTGCGAATTGCTGTTGATTAATTTTTTTCTTATTATTATTACTGTTTCACATAATATTATAACACCATTGATGAAACTATTTTATTCACTAACAATTATAATATTATGTAGTGTGTTACTACATACTACGTCACCGTGAATGGATATAATTTC